CCATGATGAAGGTTAGTATTGAATTCATTCCCTACCCCTTATGTCTCCTACTATATTAAATGAAATCATTTGGGGAAGCTTTGCATCTGTCTTTGTACTGATTTTGGTGCAGAATGCTTCCAGCAGGTGCAGTTTCTAAGTTCTTCATGTCAAATGAACAAATTATATTACAAATAATTTTACCTTAAATCAACTTTAGTGCAATTACATTTCTAAGTGGAATAATAGGGCATGGAAATTTAATAAACTTGGAATTGAACTTAAAATAAGTCTAGCCCCTGATGCTTTTAAGTTAAATTTACTGAAGTAAAATTTTCCTCAAAATTTTTAATTCGACTTATCCAGGCTTACAGCGCAATATTATTTTAACTTCAGGGAGGGCGGGCACAAACTTGTGCTGCACTTAGCTTGGTGCAGCACAGGCACATTATTGCGCCACACAACACATGGAAATTAATGGGCTTGATAGTGGAGCATCGCACCCACCGCGTCCTATCTGAAAACATGTAGACACCTAGTTTGTAATTTTACTGCTCAGCATGTACACATATCATGTCATTTGTCTCGGCCTTAGTGCCGAGTCCAGTGGCCTTTGTGACCTCCGAAAGCATATTAAATCAAAGGCCAAATGTCCCTGCCCTTCAGATGATGAAATTTATGGCCTGTTTAGCCCATTTGCCTGTTGATGAGGTTATCTAGGTTGGTGTGAAAACTGTTAATCAAACCCCTGTGTATACTTAATAAATGGATTGCATTTGTCCACTTCAAGACAGCCTTTGTTTTCTGGGTTTATAAACATGAATTCAAAAGTTAAAATAATAAATCCATCTCTTAATTTTGAACTGTTAAAGAAGTAACATACTAAGTGATCTGTGACAGAGCAATATACTGGAAATGTGTTGTAATCATGGTAATATGTTTACTTGTTACCGTGTGAGTGTCAGGACTCACATTGTAATAAGGAACAAGGGTTAAAATACCAGTTTCTTTTGTCCTCTTTCATGTATTTTGCAGTTCCTCATCACAAAGAGTGTGAATCATAGTGATCTCACAGTAACTATGCTACCTATGAGACATCCCTTTTTCATACTGTTCTTACCTGTTCATCAGTAACAATCACATACACTATATGGCCAGGTTGCAGTGAGCTGATAATCAGTTACTGCTTCATGACCTCAGAGAATATAATTAAACACATAAGATTTAATAATGCAGAAGCTCTGAATCACTTGACCTGATTTTGCATATATGGATCCATGTAGCACTATTAGAGGATGATAGTCACCAAAACTGTCAGATGACTTAATTGACTATATTAATTGACCATATTACTATATATTTACACCTCTTGATTTGTTTATATTAAGCCAGTGAGAACATGACAAGGACTAAAAAGCAGCACTTACTCCATTGAAATTGTTCTTCAAGGTCACAAAATCTTTGTAGGAGGCGAGCACATAGAATTTACCAAAGTTGTCTTGGAGCCATTGCCTGTCATCATTTCCAGCTTCAACACAGGAGCGACCTAGGATTCAATATACAGAATCTTTAAATTGAATATGCCATGCCATATTGAACATAACAGTGTGGATTTATACATTCTCACAGCACATAGGTACTTGCAAATGTAATGTTATGCTATTATGCCATTTAGGTTACCTGAGGAATAATGTTTTCCAAAATAGTCCATTATGAACTTGAAAACCTGTTGGGTCTGCCCCACGGAGAGCTGGGTGAAAACACGGTCGCATCCCTTGACACTGTGGAGACAAGAGAAATTCTGCCATTCACTAAAATGTGTAAAATAATTTTTTTCATCCCTTATTTTCATTGCCTTTTTTACACATCTGATCAATTTGACATTTTTCACTTACATTGCTTGATAGGACACACAGCTGATATTTCTTGGAATACTTTCAAATGTACTTGAGTCAATGCCTGGGAGGATCAGAGGTAGGTAGACCTGGAACCATAACTTGAACGCCTCAGCATCAAACATGGACATTTTGGGGCTGAGCGCAGATAGTGTCAGATTTAGGATGGTGCCACGCACCCTTGGGTCAATGGTTGTCAAGTTTTGCTAGAAAAAGGGCATAAATTTGTCAGATTGATATTTTTATTTTAGTGAAAAAAATAAGAAAACAAGATGATACTCACCTCTTTTGCACCAGTAACAAATTGGTCAAAAAAAGAGCCAAGATCTTCCAAACTTGACAAATTAAGTTGTGTGAACACAAGTCTCACAAGGGTTTCATTTGACAAGCTGTTTGGTTCAAGAAGCAGTTCAGCTTTTTGTCTTGATGAAAGATATTCTAGTACTGTCACCTAAGGGAAATAGAAGACAAAAATCCTATCATAAGTTTTTTTTTACTCTTTGCAACCCTATAAACCCAAACAGGGCCCTTTACTGGGACTGTATAGGCAGGATACATTGTTATGGATTCATGCACAAGCATTTGCGTGAATTGTAGTATATGTGCAGTAATACCCCTGTTTCTGTTGCATATTGATTGATGCTGCATACGCATATTGATATGTATACTCTCTCTAAGAAAAAGCAGTTAAAGTTTCCCCTGTTAAAATAGCAACCTCTGAGTTCGCATATTATTGCATTTCTTGTTGTACAAACACAACATGAATCCAATCTGATCAAATTATTTTTTTTGTCCCAGCTGTGAAGAACTTGATGTTGGACTTTGTGCATGAGCTTTAAAGGACTCTCACAGTTGTGCAGTCATCTGTGTCTAACATACTTACATATATAACTGTGATGAACATTATGCTTATGCTGTTATCAGCTACAGCTTATGTGTTTAAAAAGACCGATTGTCAAGCAGTTACCAGAGCTTTATTATACTGAAAGGAGCTTTTACTTGTTTTTTGATTTATCTACAATGGTACAATGATGAATTATCATCTTAGATGTGACCTAAAGCTCAAAAAATGAGGTGTACATATGTTCTAGTATTTCTATGCAGAAAGAATTTGGTTTATACAAGTCTCACAAACTCTTGCTCGCGATGACTTTTTTCCCTAACAAAAAAAAAATTCCATGATAGTTTAAGGATTTCCTTGAATTGGGATAAAATCCAGGCCGTTGCGTGTTAATGTGAACTTGCCTGACATCCACCGGTGCCCCCCATCATATTGGAAAAATGTTATACTGCCTTGTTTGTTATGTATGTTTTCAATAAAGCTTATTAAAAAAAAAAAGACATCCAGCGGTGCCATTATAAAAGATGATTTTTTTGACTACGCAAGGTTTTGTGCATATATTTTTCCTCCAGCTGCCTCCACTGTGACCAGAGGATGTGGAGAAAAACACAGGGCCTGAGGTCACTGCATGTCTGGGAATGTTCCTTTACAGGAACTTGCTGTTTTACCTGACTGGGTCTAACCTACAAGCAGCTGGCCTGTGAAGGCCCCAGTGGCTGGATTCCCCTGGAGCCCAGTACCTGTTTGTTTTGACTGCTTGAGGCCAGTGTGTCTGCCACATGTGATGTGTTAATGGTTTGTGAGTGGATTAATGATCCATGATGTTAATGTCAGCTTTACGCTACCTATTGGGATTAATTTCACTACTCTGGGACTGTATGTGGTTGTGTGGGGGAATATGCAGCGACCACCAGTTGGATTCACTGACCTTGGAGCTACTTGAAAGATGTTTCCACTAATCGGTGGGATTTAATGGTAAGTTTTAAAAAAACACACACATTGCATGTCTGTTAATGCCTTATTTCTGTAATGTTAGGGAGAATTGTTGTAAGGCTGGAGAAGTTACTGTCTGCATTATACCAGTTCAAATATGGAGTTTCTCAGTGTTATAAATCCCTTTTCATTGGTACATATACCATTGTTTACCTATCTATGCAGGAGTAATTCGAATTTATTAATGCCATTGCGGTTCATTGTGCTGTCCACTTGGGACGCAACAATGGCAGCTGGAGTTGTACACGTTCACAAACTATCCTCTCATTTTTAGGAAAAGGCTCTTTGGTGTTATCATTCTGAAATAATTACACACTATTTGGAGGTATGATGGGTGCAAAGCTAATGTAGAGGTACCGAAGATTAAACATTAAATGGCTGGAAACAAGTAAAATGAGCAGCCATGGGCACTTAATGTGTAGTTCTTGTCATAATCAATCTGCCACTAGTCCTAGTTCATGTGTAAGAAGATTTTGTGTACTCAGTGTAATTTTTGTTAATCTGATGATTACTTAATAAAATAACCACAACACCAAAGCCTCTGACAAAAAGACTGAAAAAATACTGGACACATCACTGTGGATTTAAAAATACCCCAATAAAATGCTGTTTGCCGATTAATGAAAATCATCTGCTTGACTCCACAACAACAAGATAGAGAACTCGTATTACTGGCTGGCTATTAAAAGTGCGAGGTTGATATGCACTATAGATGAAAAAACATGGTGAAAACATACATAACAAAACATGGCCCCTTTGTGGCCTAGGAGATGTAGGCGACACTGTAAACAAAAGCGGAGTAAGAGGAGCGGCATGCGCGCTAGGCTACATGCTAACCCACACAGGCCGGCGCTCCCTAGTCTCTTCCTTACGAAAGCCAGGTCACTAACCAACAAAATAGACGAGATTCGGCTGCGAATCGTCTCACGGAGGAAGGACAGCTGTGTGGCGATTATAACTGAAACCTGGTTGGATGACAACATCCCGGACGCTGCGGTAGAGCTGGAGGGACGCTCCTTGTTTCGAGCAGACAGGACTGCAGCATCTGCTAAACAGAGAGGTGGAGGTCTGGCGCTGTACATCCACAACGTCTGGTGCACAGCTACGACCATCACTGGAACACATTGCTCCCTGGACTTGGAATATATGGCAGTGAAATGCAGACCTTTCAAAACGGTGAGAGAGATTTGCTCAATCCTGATTGTAGCCACCTATATACCACCGCGAGCTAGCGCTGGAGGAGCTGTACTGCCTGATCGGCAAGCAGATGAATGCAAACCCAGAAGCGGCTGTGATTGTGGCTGGAGACTTTAACCATGTGGAACTTAAAGCCGTGTTTCCCAAATTCTATAGATTCATCAATATTCCAACCAGGGACAATAACATCCTGGATCAGGTTTATTGCAATATTCGGGGAGCATACAAGACCATAGCAGCTCCACACCTGGGCATGTCAGGTCACATCTCTGTGGAGCTGATCCCAGCATATAAACCTCTGATCTACAGGACAAAACCAATCACCAAAACAGTTAAGGTGTGGACAGAAGAGGCTTCTTCAGCATCATAGGACTGTTTTGAGCACACTGATTGGGGGGTGTTCAAAGAGGGCTCAGATTTGAAGGCTTATACATCAGCTGTTCTGGATTATGTGCAGTTCTGTACTGATGCTGTCCTACCAACAAAGTCCATCAGGGTTTTTCCAAACCAGAAACCATGGTTGGACAGTACAGTGTCACCTCCACTCAAAGCTCGGGATGCTGCCTTCAGATCAGGTGACAGGCTGGCCTGTAGCAGGGCCCGGAAAGAATTAAAGAAGGGCATCCTGCTGGCCAAAAGCAGGTACAAACAGCGCATTGAGGGGCACTTCATGAATAACAACACACAGAGTATGTGGAGAGGCACAAAAACAATAACAGACCACAGAGGCAACAACCAGCAGGTCAGCCATGATCCTACCCTCCCTGACACACTGAATAGTTTCTTTGCACGCTTCGATACACCTGGCAACAGAGGAACTGTACAACTCCCTCAGCTCGAGAAACAGCACCAGCCCTTCGCCCTGCAGCTACACCAGGTGAGCTCCACCCTGAGGAGGATCAACACCAACAATGCTGCAGGACCAGACAGGGTGTCAGCCCGGGTTTTGAAGCTATGTGCTGACCAACTGGCAGGAGTTTTCCTAGACCTTTTTAACCTGTCCCTGCATCTTGCTTCAGTCCCTGTGTGCCTCAAGTCCTCCATCATTGTGCCTGTGCCCAAGAAATCAGCTGTCACCTGCCTCAGTGATTACCACCCTGTTGCTCTGACACCAGTAATCATGAAGTGCTTTGAGAGGATCATTCTAAAGCACATCAAGGACATCATCCCTGTTGGTCTGGACAGCCATCAGGTCACCTACAGAGAGAACCGTCTCAATAGCATTACACACAGCCCTGTCCCACCTGGAGCATCCTAACACTTATGTCAGGATGCTGTTTGTTGACTTCAGTTCAGCATTTAACACTGTAATCCCAGACAAAGTGGCACTGAAACTGCACAATATGGGAATGCCTGCAGTGCTGTGTCATTGGATTAAGAACTTTCTCACTAACAGGCCTGAAGTGGTGAGAATCGGAAGCTGCACATCATCCACACTGGTCCTGAACACAGGCACACCACAGGGCTGTGTGCTAAGCCCAGTTCTCTTCACTCTGTTTACCCATGACTGTGATGCCATTCACTCCACAAACACAGTAGTGAAGTTCACGGACGACACCACCGTAGTGGGTCTCATCTCAGACAATGATGAGACTCACTACAGAGAGCAGATCCAGCACCTGACAAGGTGGTGGTCAGAACACCAACAAGACTAAGGAAGTGATTGTGGATTACTGTATGGGAGGTCCAGGAAGACAAAACATGCTC